GTAAAAGAAACGACCCAAACCAAACCAAGTGTGTACATATTCAGAATATTAAATGCCATTCAAACATATTTTATTCTCTTTTTTATATCAGAAATAAGTTTCAAATTTTGACTAGCCTGCTACAAGCAGCTGACACTTCTCTAATGTATGCCCCTATAGATTCTGATACAATTTTGTTCAACAAAAAAAAACATTTTAATTTGTAAGTTGGAGTGTACACAAACATATTCAGCCTTCGAGCACTACTCATACTGCATTCAGAGAGTTTCCAACTGACCTATAAGACTACTAACAAGATCCAAACACTGATCTTTAACACCTTGTATAATAAGATATGATAGCACACAAATACAGTATTACTGAACAAAGAGATGCTGTTATGGCATTAGCCAAGGCAGGATAAAGTTAATTCTCAGGAAAGATTCCGGTATATATTACAACATGAAATGGTATCTAACCGCTCTCCATGCATTTGTTTCCAGATTCTATACAAATAGTAGAAAATTGTGATGTATTCTGAAATATAGATTCATGTATTTGAGATTTTGAGAGCAATAAATATTCTTGAATATAGATGACGATCGCATCTTTTCTTTTTATGTCGATATGAAGATTTCATTTCTAGCAGAATATTTCTGAATTTTTCCATTCGTTTTTCATGAATTGAATCAACATTGGCTCAGTAATACCGGTAAGTGATTTTGCAAATAATGTTCTTCATCCATGCTTGAATTCAAAATTCACTTTGATAAAATTTTGGAAGCAACAGAATACCAATGGACATATAGAAAGAGAGAGAGAGAGAGAGGGGGAGAGAGGGAGAAAGAGAGAGAGAAAGAGGGGCAGCTTCTATGTCAGACCATGACAGTGCAAGTATAGAAAGAGAGAAATTACAGACAGATCAAGGAGTAAGGAGGAGCAAGAGAAAGAGAGACCGAGAGAAAAGAAACGGTGATATTAGCGAGAAGGTGAGAGTGAGTGGTGGGAGAAAAGAGAGAGTGATATTGGCAAGAAAGAGAGAGGGGGAGAAAGAGAAAGAGAGAGAATGTGGAAAGGAAGTGAAAGAGACGACACAAATCAAAATGTGGTGATAGGCAAACTGCCTTCAAGCGGTACTTTTCATTCATGGGAGGAGAGAGATAAATTGACTTCGCGCTAATTCGACGTCATAGCAAATTTGGTCTCAAATCCTGGAGAACTTTCCGTGAATGATGTAGCCGAAGGTGTGCTTGAAGTCGGGATGTTTCCAGGCGAAGATCATAGGATTCCAGCAGCCATTGGAGAATAAGATCAGAAAATTGATCCAGCTGGAACCTTGCTTTCCCGGCAGAACAGCATGATCGCTTGGGTCATACGCGCGAAGGATGTGATGACGAGCAGATTAGCAGAAGCATGTTTAAGGTGATCCTTAACTCGGCCTAGATTTGGTTGTTTTGATGACGGATAATTAGAGCAATCATGTTTCGGTTTGGTGATTCAGTGGATATTCGATCAGTGCGGTTCGACGGAGAAGCAACAACTGCAGCTTCATGAATGCCGAAAGTATTCTTGCTCTCAGCGATACCCGAATTTGCGCATTCGTTCTGTGGACCCGAAGTGAGTTGTTCCCATGACAGTTCTTGATATGGACATGTCCAAAGAAGGTGGGGCTAATTTTGTGAGGGGCTGTTCGGTAGGCTGTGACTATAAGGTTCATATCCAGGATATGCGATGTAGGCTTACATCGTCGGATGCTCCGTCGTGTCCTAACTTTTCAGATGATTGGCAGACTTGTGTCTGTTGATAGATTCCTCCTTAGGGCCTCCAGAAGATGGATTTCCCTATTCGTGCCCTGCATGACGTCTGCCAGGTACATGAGCGATTTGGCGGAATTGCTGCCTCACGTGATGATTTGTTTTGGCGTAGCAGAAGATAGTTACGATCAAGATTAAGGATACAAGCCCAAAGCGAGGGTTGGATCCGTCCACCGCTATAATCACAGACTCCTCGAATTTTTCGAACGTGGTGTTGTCATCATAGATGGAGCCCAACAACCTGAGGAAGTAAGCCAAATAATATGATGATATTGGCAACAACTTTCTTACCAGTTGGCTTCATAATCATGCAAGCGTGACGCCAGTTTCTTGGAAACAACTTGCATTCGATATATGGCAATTAATGAGAGCCAAAGTTAAGACGCTGCAGCCCAGTAAAGTGAAATTGACCGCCTCTGTTACCCGACACACATCCCGCAAGAGTCTCGATCTCGACGTCGACACCAGAACGATGGCCTGAACGATCTGGAGGATTGCCGTTAGCAGATCGGTGATTGCCAATGCGATGTCGAAGATGCTCGTGATCGTCTGCCGTTTCCTAGAGGGTGCGACGGCGATGATGACCAGGCTGTTTCCAAATATACCGATTACAGCTACCGCAGTAAGTTTATCATGGTCTGCAAACATGGTCTGAAGGTTAACAAGTTTATTGTCGCTGTTGTATTCATTATGCTGATAAATCTCGTCAAACGCTAACTGTATAGGGATCGTTATTTGTTTCCCAATAGTTTTCCAATATAGTTTTCAAACTAAATACGCACATGTTGTGTTAGAATCGTATTTAGATTGGACACATTCGATCGACATGTCTCAATTGTCAGTCTTGCAAACACAGTTGATGACGAAAGTCTATATCCAACATGACAAACACCAAATGATTCAATTCAAACTCCATTAGATGCCAGTACAGACATTTCAGCAATTGTTATTCCGCCCCCAAAATCACATTTTGTTCAAAAGAACAGGCCGGGAAATGCAAACTTGCCGTTGGAAACCTAATCATGTAAAAATGGGGATAGCATGGTACCGTTTCCATGACAATCCTGACGAATCACTTATTCTCCTCGCCGTACTCTCGGAACAAATATTGATCAATTAAAAACATGTTTAACAATTCACTGACTGTCGATTCCATTTCCCAAACTAGATTTTTTAAAATTTTTCTTCTACAGCTTGCAAACATGCATAGTATTAAACGTAAGTGCTCATGTTTAGCGCGGGAGGCACGCAAGAAGCGTGCTTAATTAGGTTTTTTGGGCCATGAAAAGAAAGTGTGTTTGCTGGAGAACCGAGGGCGCATTAAGTGTTTTAGTGTTCGAAAGGAAGCGAATAAAGAGAGAAAGAGAGAAAAATAGAGGAGTAAAAAAGATAACGAACAGAAAACTAGACAGATACCACGAAAGGAAGAAGATATATGTATATTTGTATATGATATTTGTCAATGATTATTCCATTGGTTTTTAATGCAAGAGGTTTTGAATGTGCAAAAAACCAATATTAGCATTTTGCACTTACTATTTAAAAAAGTAATTGCCAATATATTTTATTTCTGGCCATAAGCTGGAGCGTACATGAAGTCATTTCGGAACGCAAAAAAACTGGAAAAGATAAATGAGATTCAGTATTGAATATTCGTTTAAAAGAAATACAATGTAGCAGAAAGGAAAAAGTACAAACATAACGAAAAGATGACTTACCAAAGGAATTGTTAAAGTTCATTTGGATATTTGACTGATATGTGCGAGTTAAATTTGATGTTGTAGTTATCTGTTGTGTTATTTGTGTATGATACATGTTCTATTGATTTGTAACATTTGAGTGTGAATAAAATCCTCTGAGGCGAAAAAAAGAAAAGAAAAAGGAAGAAGATTATTTTAATGGTAAAAGGTATTCGAAAATCTAGGTCAATTTGGAAATATATTTTTACAAATTTATTTTCATCTGTCTCATAAAATTGTCAAACTTATATCACTTCTAAGTGGTACCTTCCATTCATGGGAGGACTGTTGAATTCTAAACGTCGTGAAAACTACTCACCCCTAGAACAATATACCCCCCCCCCCCCCCTCCCCATAAACACACACACACACCTACCTCCAGGTAACGTACAACCCCTCTGGAAAATGACCCCACATCAATACCAACTTGTTAGGGCCGGTAGAGTCATACTAAAAGTTAACCCTTATTCGCATACTTCTACCAGTCAAATTCATAGCTGTCTTGGTTGGCAAATGATACGTGAAAGGCAACAAATCCATTTATTACTCCTAACTTACAAAACATTACATAACATGACCCCTGAATATTTGAAAGACATGTTTGAGTTTAAACCCTCTCCATACTCCCTCCGTAATGCACATAACCTCTCTTTACCTAAGCCAAGAACTAATTATTGTAAAAGAACTTTTGTGTACAGAGCTTCTTTTCAATATAATAAATTATCCCCCGATTTGCGTCAACTACCCACTTTTGCCACCTTTAAGACTAACCTAAACAGACTATAATCACCTTGTTGTTGTACCTCTTTATATACGTTTATATAATGTTTTGTTTGTTTGTTTTGTTTTGTTTTGTTTTGTTTTTTGTTTTTTTCCTTTAAGTATTTGTATTAAGTTTTCGACTGATACTTTGTAATTATTTATTTTTTTAATTTGTAATATTATGTATATTTTGTATATTGTAAACTGGCCCCATGGAAGACCAGCAGCAACAATTATCGTTGCAGCTGAATATGGGCAACCAGCCGTATATTTGTATTTGTATCTGATTTTGTTTTTATACGGAAATAAAAACAACAACAACAAGTACTACATGTACATGCACTTCCTACTGGTGTTAGTTTTCCGAGTGGTAGATTTACTTGTCCTGCCGTAGTCGGGGCCTGGGTAGTTATCTTATAATTGTCATTATGGACTTTTAGATTTGCACGCAGACAACGTGAACTGCTACGTGTGACATCCTTTTAAGGTAATGTGACGCCACTGCCGAGCACTGCCAGTGCCTTAAAAGGATGGCACACGTAGCAGTCCACGTTGTCGGCGTTCGAATCTAAAAGTCCCTATTATAAGATAAATCCAGACTTCAACAACAACAACAACAATAGTAAAAACAAGAAGAGCAGCAACAACAAAATCTCTGTAACATTTACTGAACTATGATGTACTTTAAAAGTGGAAAATTGCAATCTTAGTTTTGAATGATTCGACGTCTAAGCCAAGGTACCGGGTCCCTAATCCTGCAGAACTTTCCGCGGACGATGCAGCCGAAGGTGTGCTTGAAGTCCGGGTGCTTCCAGGCGTAGATCATAGGGTTCCAGCAGCAGTTGGAGAACAGGATCAGAAAACTGATCCAGCTGTGTGCTTGGTCTCCTGGCACGAAAAGCAAGATGATCGACGGTGTCATACAGGCAAAGAAGGTCACGACGAGTAGGAGCATGTTGAGGGTGATCCTCGATTCGGCATTCATCGGATTTTCCCGATGATGAACGTTACGTTTGATTTTTCCTCCGGTAGGTTTTTTCAAGAAAATGTGTTGATTGTGTGGACAGGTCGACGGAGCGGTAGTGGCTGAAGAAAGCCGAGATCCTGATAGTTTATCGTCATCCATAATCATGCCTGGCTGTTCACTTTCGTCCAGATAAACTGTCGTAGGAACTAGAGGGATAATTGGCGTCGGAGCAGATCTTGAAATGGATACGTCAAACGAAGCTTGAGCTGTTTGTTTGGTGGGTGTTTTTCTGTCTGTGTTGGATGTGCTGGACGCTTCATCTGATGACAAAGTGGTGAATCGATTCGCTAATGGCACGTCCGATAGCTTTCCTATAATTGTGGGTAATATTTCTGGTTGTCCTGTTCGTTGAGCTTGTTCGCTCTCTACTCTCCGAATCTCTGATATGGGATTACAAGCCGCCATTATTGTACCCTTATCTGTAGAACATACATCGCGACCTCTGCTCTTGCATTCTGTATGGTTTAAGGTTGAAATTGTCGTCGCTTCTGAAATAGTTTGCGTGTCATTGGATGACGAAATGACTATGTCTAAGCTTTCCGAATGACCCAAAGACTCATGTATTTTGGTGGAGTCTACATGCGTGACTTGTAGCCCTACCGAAGAGGGCCCTGCCTGTTCTTTGTGGATAGGTCTTAGAGGACGTCCACCATGCACATGAGTGACTTGGCGGAAGTGCTGCCTCACGTGATGATAGGTTTTGGCATAGCAAAAGACAATTAGACACAAAATGAAAAATAAATAGAGGCCCATAGATATATCTGTGAACTTCCCACCTTCGTAGTAGCATGTTCCGTATGCACGTACTATTCCAAATCTGATTCTGTCAATGAAGCTAGTGGCTAAACAACCCACGGAAGTAAGCGAAAACAATATGATGATACTGGCAACAGCTTTCTTACGGGTTACCTTAAAGTGTGACGCCGGTTTCTTGGTAACAACTTGCATACGATATAAGGCAATAAGAGCCAAAGTTATGACGCTGTATCCCAGTAAATTGAAATTGACTGCCGCTGTTACCCGACACACATCCTGCAAGAGAGTCGACGTCGACGTCGACAACAGAACGATGGCCTGGACGATCTGGAGGATTGCCGTTAGAAGATCGGTGATTGCCAGTGCAACGACGAAGATGCTCGTGATCGTTTGGAGTTTCCTAGAGAGTGCGACGGCGACGATGACCAGGCTGTTTCCAGATATACCGAGTGCAGCGATGACGATATAGGCTATTGCTGCTGACAGTTTTTCATATTCTCCAAGTTCTCGGTGGACATCAACTGCACTTGACTCTCTTGTCGTCATGTGGTCGAATGTAGTATTTCTTGCCAATGCCATATCGAAAATATAAAGTGATTTATTTGTTTTTGTGATGAAGAAAATCTCAAAGAATCCTTCTTTTCTCAAGCAGCCATCCGTCTTGTTAAACTTTCCTACAAATTTCCACCGTTTAGTAATGCCTGTCATCAATTCTAACGAGGCGTTGTGGCGAGCGCCTGTAATCCAGCCAAAAATGAAAGTTACAAACTGATTCAGCCGAGGACGCAGGTTCAGAACTGAGTCACGTCTTTCGGATGGTGACGTTAAAGGTCGGTCGATAGACGTAAATAATCTTATATGATTGATACGCATCTGTAAAAACCCAATTATACACACACACTCTTGATTTTCCCGACCCGGTGTTTCTTGAAAATTTAAGTCAAAATACAAAGAGAACGACCAAGATTCAGTAGATTGATACAGCTCGGTTGCGCTGGTTCGGAATGGTTGAATGAAGAAAAAAAAATCTTTGCTACTTTAAAATACATGTACGTATTTTTAAGCCTACAAACGTAAATGGACCACCACTCCTCATGTATCTCGTCTCCCAAATAAAATTATTCTCACTGTCCCGATGTTTGCAAATAAACCTTGTATTAATTCGTTAAAACCTTTCCCCTCTTTCTCTCTCTTTATTATCTCTCTTTCTCTCTTTCCCTTTAAAACTATTGTAGATACACCTGTACGTTTATTTTCCATTCGTGACGCTTTTAGTGTAGGCTGGCGATTGACCATAACGTAGGAGAGAGATTCATTAGATTATACATTTCAAGCAAGTGATAGATAGTTATAATGCATAATATAGCTGTGTCCATTTACCGAAAAGGAGATAGAGATTCGGAAAGAGAGAGGACAAAACAGAGAGATGTAGGGAAAGTGACAGGGTATTAGAGAGAGGCTGGGAGGGGGTGAAAAGCAACAGTGGTAAATATAAGACTTTTGAGATATTGAAAAGTGGAGATAAGACCGAACAGAGATCACAGTTCAATTGTCGTCATTCTTTGTATATTTCTTATTTTGGAATGCAGGGGATATGACAAGGAGATACAGGCTCAAATATTTTTTTTTACAACGAATATAAATTTGTAAAGGAAATTTGGGGAGGGGATGTGGTAGGAATGTGTTGAGCCAGAAAGGAATTATTGTTATATTCGTACTTCTAGCGTGAATATAAAATGAAACAAACGTGTAAGTTCTATTTGATATGGTAAAAATCATAAAATGCTTGTGATTAACGATTTTGAAACGTAAACTATGTATATAATATATAATATTGAATATATAGAAGATGAAGAAAGAAGAAAAGAAGAAGAAAAACTCGGTCAATCCCTTCAACATTGTGTTGTGATGCAACCCATAAGAAGACAATATCAACAGAGATTATTAATACGATGGGTGCTCATTCAACCAATGATTTCATAATATAATTTTCTTTGTAAATGCAATGATGTAATGGTTTTCGACTCTTAAAACATCAAGTAATTTGTGACCCCCCCCCCCCCCAAAAAAAAAAAAAAAAGAATAGATAAAATAATCCGTTTTTATATAGCGCCTAATACAAATGTCTCTAAGCGCTTTACAGATATACTATTACCCCGGTCATATCGGATGCAATACTTGCCCGCATACGTTTGTATGCACAATCTCCACTCCCTGGGGAGTATTCAAGCAAAGCGTTACTTGACGCTCAAAAACTTTTTGGCCAACAATGACGGTCGCATCCTACCGGGTACCCATCTAAAACTTGGGTGGAGAGTAGCAAGTTTAGGTTAATATCTTGCCAAAGGAAATTAGTGCCGTGTCGAGATTCGAACCCTCTACCTTCGCATCTCCTGTAAAGCGGCTTAAACCACCCGACCACGACACTCCTGAAACCCACAGGCATTTAATGCAAGCTATTTCATTTTTTTTTTTTTTTTTTTTTAATTTTTTTTTTTTTTGGGGGGGGGGGGGGAGGGATGTGCCCGTATTTTACATCTAACATCCTCTCCAAACTGTGGTTTAACAAAGCATATGTTAAATAATTATGTAACGCTTAAAATGTCAACTTGCAGTTATCCTACGTCTAAGCCAAGGTACCGGGTCTCTAATCCTGGAGAACTTTCCGCGGATGATGCAGCCGAAGGTGTGCTTGAAGTCCGGGTGCTTCCAGGCGTAGATCATAGGGTTCCAGCAGCAGTTGGAAAATAGAATCAGGAAAATGATCCAGTTCGAATCTTGCTGACCCGGGATAAAAAGCTGGATGATGGTCGGTGCCATGCAGGCAAAGAATGTCACGACGAGGAGCAGCATGTTGAAGGTTATCCTCGATTCAGTTTTCATCCGATTGTCCTGGTGTCGGACGCGGTGGGGTTTAGTATTTCCTTGACGATTCGATGGAGTCCGAAGAATTGCTGACCGGTTCAAGAATGAAGCCGCACCTGAAGCCAGCTTGGACCCGTCGAGTGTTTGATCATTTGGGACGAACGAACTAGGATTTTCTTTTATACAACTTAAAGCTACCACATTAGCTCCGTGCTTTGAATTATGTTCTTGACGATTGCAGCCGATGTTCTTTACCTCAGTACCAGCTGTCATTGCAATTTCGTTTGTATTTGACATTGTTTCAGCACCTGAAGAACCTCCACTCTTCATTTGAAGATTGGCTGTGTTAATCAGGCTTAAATCTTTGTGTGGTGGTAAAATGGTGACCTGGGTGATTGGAGTATCATCCCCAAACTTCTGCGATATTATTTCTCCAGGCTCTGGCCGACAAGCTCGCTCGCAAGGAGACTTCGACAACTCGAAAACGCCAACAGATGTAGATGCAATCCTTTGTCCGAAAGCTACCCCTGGTGTTTTCGAACAAGCACTTGGTCCCGCAATTGAAGTACTTCGCGTATTAACCTTCAATATTGGATTCAAGCTTGGAGAGGCTGGTGGAGATGAGTCTCTGTCTACATTAGGGGCCTTTAGGCTTCTTGGATTGTATTGTCTTGCGGTTGGGAAAGGCCTGATTTTCATTTGAGCGACTTGACGGTAGTGGCGCCTGACATGGTAATAGATTCGACCATAGCAGACAATAATGACAGTCAACAGACAGAATATGTACACGCCAATGGCATAATCAACGAAGTTTCCTCCCAAGTAGTTGCACGTTCCCCGAACGTTTCCGAACCTGAGCCCATCAATCAACACCACCCCTACCAAGCCCAGGACGTTGAGCGCATAGACGACGATGATACTGGCAACGGCTTTCCTGGCTGTCGGCTTCGAGGTGGACGACGGCTTGCTGGTGACGATCTGCATACGATTCACGGCGATGAGCATCAGAGCGCCCATACTGCACCCTAACAAAACGAAATTCAACGCCGCTGCTCCAGAGCACACCTTCAGCAAGAACGTGGACCTACTCTTCACAAGCAACATAACGGCTTGGACGACCTGGATGTTCGAAATGAGAAAATCCGTGATTGCTACTGCAAGGACGTAGATATTCGTCGTCGTCTGGAGTTTCCTGGAAAGGAGGACTGCCAGGATGACCAGGCTGTTTCCAGAGATGGCGACTGCGGCAATGATGATGAAAACCCCAGCTGAAATCATCCTTTCATATCCTGAGATTTCAGGAAGGGCATCTTTGGTCGTTGCCTCCATGCTGGTCCTGATATCGACTGTGTACATGCAGTTTAGACGTAAATGACTATACCGAGATGATTAACTGATGCGGTGTTTCATTATCTCAGGCTGAAGGATGAACCCCGATATGGATATGATGCAAGAGCGTCGCTGGAGGGGTAGTTAGAGCGTGATAGCTCCCTAATAGTAGTAATTACGTCGGCCAATCTGATATGTATAGGGTATCGGTAACCCTTTTCTGTTCGTTTTTATTCTGATATGCTTATTGTTAAAGCTTCAGTTACCTCGGCAATACCGTCCCACACGTCCCCCCCCCCCCCCCCCATTCAACATGGTCTAGTGAAGCCCCTGACGTACATGATGAAAGAAGAATTCTCTTCATGTTCTGCCACTTTTATCTTTATTCTGTCTTCTAGTGTAGTCAATTTCGACGGCAATGTGTCTTTTAAATATCCACATGTTTGTTTAATTGATTCTTTTATCTCATCAAAAAAAGCTAGACGTTGCACTCTTCTTCGTTCTAGGCAGGTATGGTAAAGTCAATGTACACCCAACCTAAATGCAAAGTCATTAAACATGTCGTATATCATTATATGACTTGTATTGATCCAATATGAAATAAGTAAGCATGCGCTCCTTTCATCAACAGATATGTGTAATTTCCTGCTCGCAAACGGTATTCTGAACTACGGGTGGCTTCTTGTTACAGACGTCACGTTCAGTAAGCAATCAAAACGCAGATAACCATGGCAACCAAAATATAGTTTGCTCTCTTAATCTAAGAAGTTCGCTTAAGCAAACATGTGGTAATGCATCCATGCTTTTAGGGACTGTCATGTCTATAATCAATTCCAAGACTTGATGACCTTCAGACTTCATTACTATTTTTTATTTTTAGCGATCGAAGAAGGGAAGGCTATTCCGAACACATGTCAATTAAAGCTTTACTTATCCTTTTTATTTCACCGTTTTTTAATTCTTCGATAGGTAAGGATAAAAACTTTGGAAGATAACAAAATATGTTAAATTCCACCAAACTTCTTACGGGTATAGGATAATAAGGTAAAGTATAATATACACTGTCGCTCATATAGATGGAATATTTTTGTTTTATCCCAATTTATGGAATTATTTAAAAAATAATTTAAAAATAATAGATCTAGATAATAGTATACATTCTCAGATTTTATTGAATAATAATTTGCCAATGTGTGTTTTGCGTGACTGCTAAAGCATGTGCATGCTACTATGCTTATCAACTAGCGGACCTACGCCCTTAAGTCATAAATGACAGTAATGAGGATTAATGCCCCACAAAAGGGCACTAATGTAGCACATCGACACGGTTTTGATCCTGGGGCATCACAGTTACGAGGCCATTGCTTTGTCACTGAACCATGACTGTACGCAGCGGGGGCTAAAGGGTAGGTTGCAGTTTCCATAAATTAAATAAAAAACAGAAAATGCAATAAATATTCAATAATTTATTTCATTTTACCCCGGTCCCCAATATTAAAAATTCCTCTTGGCGGCCATGCATTACGGCTCAAGGCCTGGGCACACAGAGGATTTTTTTTATGTTGGGAACCGGGGTAATCTGCAATAAATTATTGAAAATTTATTGCATTTTCTTTCTTTTTTTTATTTATGGAAACTGCCCCCTACCCTAGCCCCTGCTGCGTACAGTCATGGTTCAGTGACAAAGCAATGGCCTCGTAACTGTGATGCCCCAGGATCAAAACCGTGTCGATGTGCTATATTAGTGCCCTTTTGTGGGGCATTAATCCTCATTACTGTCATATATGCCTTAAGGGGGTAGGTCCCCTATAAGCATAGTAGCATACACATGCTTTTGCAGTCACGCAAAACACACATTGGTAAATTACTATTCAATAAAATCCGAGAATGTATACTATTATCTAGATCTATTATTTTTAAATTATTTTTAAAATAATTCCATAAATTGGGGTAAAACAAAAATATTCCAACTTTATGAGCGACAGTGTAGTATAAGGAGCTTACAACATAAGAAATTTCAATATTATAAAGAAAATACTTTGGAAGATAACAAAATATGTTAAATTCCACCAAACTTCTTACGGGTATAGGATAATAAAGTAAAGTATAATATAGTATAAGGAGCTTACAACATAAGAAATTTCAATATTATGAAGAAAATACTTTGAAAGATAACAAAAAATGTTAAATTCCACCAAACTTCTTACGGGTATAGGATAATGAGGTAAAGTATAATATAGTATAAGGAGCTTACAACATAAGATATTTCAATAACATTATAATGAAAATACTTTGGCAGCATAGTCTACTTATTCTATATCCCATTTGATGAACATAGATCTATCAATATATCATTAATTCTTTAACAAATGAAGATAAATTTAAATATATATATATATATAAGCAACTTGTCAAAATGTTTAATTTCTAATCCCATTTTTGGCTGCGTAACGAGGTACAGCTTTCGACAACAAAATTGATAGAAAATGTAGACTAATGACAGATTTTAACAATGTGCTTCATGCAGATCCATCGCAATCCATGTGAGGAAGGAATAAATTCCTTGAATACTTGAGCGCCTTTTCATGGTAGCTCGGCGGCTATGGCTTGGGTAATGATATGATTGCAGGTTCCTCAGGGAGAACAGTATTAATACTGATAATGCTACCTTAAGTAAACAAGCAATATTAGTGTTACTGTTTTTATTGATTATCCTTGTTTGTGTTTATGTCGAAATTATTGTTTTGCTCATTGTAAATCGACCTCTGGAAATCCTTCGATGCTTTGTAAGCATAATTGATCATGTGGATATGAATTGTGATAGATCTACATATCATGACGTCATTATGTCCTCTTTCGCAAAAAAAAAAGATAAATGAAGTGAGGTAGAATAACGTATGTTTTTCAAAGAGACTTTTGAAGATAGAAGGAAGCCTGCTCACCTGCTGTCTCTATCAACGTGATGAAAAAACGCAAATACAAAGTTGGTGCTGTGTGATCATACTGCTTGTAGCGAATGGTATGGATTGTATTTATTAGAATTCAGATGAAAGTTGGTTGCTACGTTGTTACACAAGATTTTCGGTTGCCTAGACAATGCAGAGTTGTCCATTGTGACGTGGTGTTGCGCGTTATGCATGTTGCGCGCGGTATGCAACGCACATTTCTAAGCAACGCTCTAGAGGTGCGCACCGATATTGCATAACGCAGAACCATATGCTTGTGCACTGTTTATGTAACTTTCGTTACAAAAAATAAACAAAGCATATTTTGTGTTTTATTAGATCTAGATCATCTGACGATGATGGACCCATTTATGGTTTGTTTTTGACAACATTGCGAGGAAGTCATGTCGAAGTACCCATGTGATAACTGGTCTTGGTCGTCACGCCGCGGATGCGATCCCAGGTTACGTGACCGCGATGCCAACAAAGAAAACATCGAGCCCATCTCCCCCCTTTCCCGCCTGGCCGAGAAGGTGGACGACTCCCGCCGGTGGGCCCCGATACCGGACAGGTGGCACAACCATTGCGAATGGCTAGTCGACCACCATCGGAACCTCCGAAAGCGATTCCGAAAGACCACGGCAAACGATCGCCTCGCTGGGGTGCTGACGACGTTGAAGTGCACCCAAGAACGAAGGCGAGAATCCGATGAAGACGAGTCGGTGGTCGGGCGTGGAAGCAGATGTAAACGATCCAGGTAAGTTTTTATGTTACTAATTCATTGATGCATCGATTCATTGATAAGCTAGATATGGTCAGACTTTGGAATAGATAGTCATGTGTTCTTTCTCCATTCTTTGGAGAAAGACCTAGCCTAGGGTCTATCCTCTACATCTAGATCTCGGACAAATTAGATTAAGAGTTAGGAAAACAAGAGTCTAATGAGAGACGGCATGCACACACACAACAAAAAGAGACGAAAAAAGAAACTAATCTAGATCTATGATGATAATCTTATTTTTTTATTTTTTTTATTATAAACAGTCAATTTCATTAAAGATTAACATTTTTAAGTCCAGGAGGTAGAATAGCTGCGTCCCCTTCTATTTCTATTCTTTTTCTGCTTGTTTTCCTCTAGATCTATTTCTCCTCAAATAGTCTATAGATTTTCAGTATTGAGCCGCTATTAAGCGATTGGTAGAATAGGCACACAAATCTTGCAAGTCTAGACTTGGGTCCTTCAAATGGTAATTATTAGAAATTATGTATCATCGGATTGTGTGTGTATTCTTTAAATGACATTGCCGTCTTTCTTAATAGAAAAGGCCCTTTTTGTTACAAAGTTGAGAAAAGAAGATAAAGGGCCTCCTCTGAAAAACGCCCCCAGTTACTGTGAGTTACATCCACACACATTGTCAAGAGAGTAACCATCTCGTGAATTATAAAACTATTTCTTGTTCAATATTAATTCAAATATTTTGGATCGCAGAAAGATTTTCATCATATCCATTTTTCTATTGTTATAACACAGAAGTGATGTAGAATATCCCGAGCTCGAACCCGCAAGTCTTTGGTTGGGATCTGTTCATCCAGAGCTGCTTCAACTAGAGAAGGTGCTCTCACCTCCGGAGGTCCAACCGTTTTTGGAACGGGTTGACGAAATGGAAGTTGAAACCCAGAAATCAGAACAAGATTTAAAAGCTGATGATGTGGATTGCAGTTCTACAAAACCCAACCCGTCAACCAAAGATGATAAATTCACAGTCAAAATGGTAAAGACTTCGACAGCTGGTGCTTCCCAAAGCACCTTTCGATCTCCAAGTCCAGTCGAAGGCGCCTTCGAACACGAAGACTTCCGAACGAGCACGCCGACCGCCGACGAGAGGAGTCGACCCGATCCTGAGGAACCGTGCGCGAGTTTCCGTAGGTCTTCGGCATGGAAGGATTACGTCATGTCTCACAATCCTATCCTCTTCCGATCGTATGTCAACACACAGTATCCAAAGAAGTCTTGGAGGCACAGCCATCAGAAGATGGCTGCTCGGCATTGCAGGA